ATGGAAATAAGAAAACCAGAAGTTCAATAAGAAGAATTTTAATTTTAAATTATTTATTTTATACTTTTTTTTTTGTTTAAAAAAAAGAAAAAATCAAAAGTAATTATGAAGTAACTTGGTTCGAATTTCTTCTTTTCTATTATTACTTTTTTTTCTTAAAAAATGTAATTGTATTGTTTTTTTTTTCTTTGTTTAGAAAAGAAGTATTAACCCTCTGAAGTAATTGGACAATCTTTAAAAAGTTAGTGATTGGATTGACTTTAAATGAACATTTTCTTTCTTTGTTTGACTTTATCTATTGCTATTGCAGAAACCTGTACTCGTCATCCAGTTATTATTATTCCTGGAATTATGGCTTCAATGCTTAATGCCAAAATAAATATCCCTAAGAATGTTGACTTCTGTGATAGAAAACTTGATTGTGATAGATCTAAAGATTGGTTCACATTATGGCTAAATCTGTTAGATGGAATTCCATATGTCAATGATTGTTATATTGCTTATTTAACATGTCATTATAATTCAACTTCAGGTAGAATGGAAAATGTTGAAGGAGTACAAATAGAGCCTCCAAGGTTTGGATCTACTTATGCTGTAGACACTATCTCTCCATCATTCCCATTAAAGACATTTTCTCGTGCATTCCATGAAGTTATAAAAGGATTACAAAAAATTGGATATAAAGATGAATTTGATTTGTTCTCTGCACCTTATGATTGGAGGTATTATCATCATGATGAATATTATGAAAAAGTTAAAGAGTTAATAATTAAAGCTTATGAAAATACTGGTAATAAAGTAGTTTTAGTTTCACATTCTATGGGAGGATTAACTACTTATATTTTATTAGATAAACTTGGCAAAGAATTTTGTGATAAGTATATTTATAGATGGGTTGCTATGTCTACTCCTTTCATTGGGACAACTATCGCTAATGATGTTGTTCTTGCTGGATATAATATGGGATATCCTGTTTCTAAAGAATTAATTAAAAAGGCAGCAAGAACATTTGAGACAGTAGCTATGATGGGGCCTATAGGAGAGTATTGGGACCAAAATGAAGTTTTAGTAGAATTAGCTAATGGCAAGAAATATTATCCAAAAGACCAGATTGAGTTATTTAGTCAATTAGAAGAAATGAAACCATTTGCTAAAGAAGCAGTAGAAAATTCATTTGCTCCATATCTTAAGAAATATAATTCACAAGTACCACATGGAGTAGAAATGCATTGTGGTATTACAAGTGGAATAGAAACTGCACATAAAATAACATTTAAAGGAGATACTTTTGATTCTAAATCAACTATAGAATTTGTAGATGGTGATCAAGAAGTTACTTTGAACAGTTTAGAATATTGTAAAAAGATGACAGAAAACTTTACTAATTTAGGTAAATATACTCATCAAGGAATGTTGTTAAAGAAAGAAGTGATTGAATATGTTAAAAATCTTGCTTGTGACTAAGTTCTTAGTACTAATTTAATTCAATACTTTTCTAAGTCTGTTTTTTAATTTAATGAACGTAACTGTTAAAACGAAAAATAAATAGAACTTAAAAACAAACTAAGATGCAACGATCAATCACTCAATTCATAGTTATTAAACCTAAGAAAGATGGAGATAAAAGTATTGGACAAGAGATTAAGGAAAAACAAGAGAGAGAATTTAAATTATTCAAACAAAAAGAACGAGAAAAAATGAGAATTGAATTACAAAAAGAAAAAAATAAAATGGAAGTAGAAGAAAAGAAAATTGATTCATATCAACGATTAATTGAATTTAAAAAAATCAAAGAACAAAAGCAAAGAGCTTTTGGAGTTGGTTGTTCAATTACCAAAGATATTTATTTAGGATCAGTAGAAAGTAGTAATAATCAGGCATGGTTGGATAGTGAATGTATTAATGTAATTATTAATTGTACTTGTGAGTGTAGTAATGAAGAAGAAGAAGGAAGAGAATACTATAGGTTGCCAATTAGTAAATACCATAATACAATTAATCCTTTTGTAAAAGAGGCTTGTGCCTTGATCAACTTAGCTCATTCTAAAGGAGAAAAGGTTCTTATTCATTCATTTGATGGAAGGAATAGAGCTCCTGCATTATTAATTGCTTATTTGATTCAAAATAATAAAATGAGTTTTATAAATGCCTTTAATATGGTTAAAACAAAAGCATGGACTTTTGAACTATCAATGGTACTGGTCGGTGAATTGAACACCCTTTCAAGTCAATTAGGATTAACTTCTATTAATGGTATGACTAATTCTCAATTCAAACAAGATCCAATCATCCGTCGTGCATTAGAAGATGCAGAAATAGAAATAGCTGATAGAAAAAAGAAATGGGAATTTTCTCATAATGTAATTGACTAAATATTTTTATTTTAAGTATTATTATACTCATTGTTATTCAAAAAGTGAATTCTGAGATGAGTGAGAAATCACAAATTAATAAAAATTGTCATGGCTATGAATATTATAAGAGTTAAATGGAAAATTATAAGAATAATAAGATGAAGTAGAAAAATAAGAATGAAATATAAAGATAAGAGAAATAAAATAGAATATTCGAAGTGGAGAATATAACAAAAGCAATTAATTAAGTATTATAGAATTGTTCTTTGTTCATTAATTAATGAATATTAATAGCATCAAATATCATTAGAATGAGTAATTTCTTTGTTTTATTAATTATTTAATGTTTCTTCTTGTTTTGTGAATAAAGTATTTTATTTTATTTATTTTATTGTCTTTTCTTTCTTCTTTCTGTTTTTTTTTTCATTGTATCTTCTTCTTTGATTTTTATCCTTATTTTAATGAACTTCATCTTTCTTTATTTCTTATTTTATGATGAATGAAAATTTCATTATTATTATATTTTAATGTATAATTTCATTTATTATTAACTTCATCAATTAAATATTCTTTAATCTTGGTATTTTTAATTTC